CTGGCATCATTTCTGCCACCAAGGTCATATTTTCCAACTACCAATCCTTCTTTGTTTCCAACTTTCACATTCCAATCACTAGTAATTATCAATGCATCTTGATTGCATGTTTGATCATTTTCTGACTGCCAGAGTTGGTAAAAATCTTCAGTTTCCTCATCTTTGACCTTAGTGATTGGTGTGTAAATTTGGACAATAGTCGTATTAACTGGTCTTCCTTTCAGGTGTATCCTATCACTGACAGATTTGTACTTCAGGATAAGTCTTTTTTTTTTTTTTTTTTTTTTTGGTAAGTAAATGAAGTTTACATTTCAAGTTAGTCTCCCATACAGAATTTTTTTTTGCCTACATTGTTATGAGACCCCAACCCCTCACCCCATTCTGCGACAGCACACTCCTCCCTTCCGCGCCTGATTCCCCATGAACATTCAGCCAGCTCCTAACTCTCTCTGTCTTCCCATCTCACCTCTGGACAGAAGCCGCCCCTTTGGTCTCTTGTATCTACTTGTCTAAGAGGCACATTCTTCACAAGTATCACTTTATGTCCCACAGTCCAGTCGAATCTCTGTTTGAAGAGTTGGCCTCGGAAATTGTTTTAGTTCTGGGGTGATGGAGACACCAGGGGCCTTGTTCTCCAGGTCACCTCCAGTCTTAGTCAGACCATTAAGTCTGGTCTTCTTACTAGAATTTGAGTTCTGCATCCCATCGTTCTACTGCCAGGGTAAGTTTTGAAATGTTCTTTTTGACGATGAATGCAACGCCATTCCTCTTTAAGTTGTCATTACAGGCGTAGTAGACCATATGTTTTTCTGATTCAAAATGGCCAATACCAGTCCATTTCAGCTCACTAATCCCTAGGATATCGATGTTTATGAGTTTAATTCCATTTCTGATGACTTCCAGTTTTCCTGGATTCATACTTCTTACATTCCACATTTCTATTATTAATGGATATTTCCAGCTAATCTAAAAAGGTTTTAAAACAGGAATTCTGAGCGTTCAGACTAAGACAGACTAGGAAGAAGGACGTGGCAGTCTACTTCTGAAAAAATTTGCCAGTGAAAACCTTATGAATAGTAGTGGAACATTGCTTTAAGCACTTTACGTATATTAACTCATTTATTCCTCAAACTCTTTGAGATATGTTCTATTATTATCCTTGTTTTACAGTTGAAGGACCTGAGAGGCAGAGAAGTTAAGTAACTTGTCCAAGGATACACAGCTATTAGTAACAAATGGGGATTTGAATTAGGTTGTCTGATATTTCAAAGAACTAGAGAATCAGAATGATATTCTGAGTTATTTTTTAATATTGCAGGACTCAAGTTTTTGTTTTTTTCCTCTCTGCTGGTTGTGTGACAATCTTTGTCACGTACCAGCTGCCAAAATGATGTTTTTTGTCTTCTGCATTGCCAGTGTAATTCTATTTTTCATGTTACCAAAGGGCAAAGTACTGGTGGTTTTTGTATAATAGAGCGATTATATTTATTAAGGAATGCATTTTATTATAGCAAATTGTATTACCACAAACCTCCAAAAATAGCAACACGGTTTTTGAAACTCTGCTTTTTATGGGTCTATCTGGTAAAGACTACACAAACCACACCTAGGTTAGTGATGCCTCCCAGACACTTGCTGACCCACAGGCAGAGAAGAGCTTTCCAAGAGCAGCTTCCCTTCCTCCTCCTCCTCCTTTTTCTTCTTCTTTTTCCTCTTTTTTGTTTTTTGTAGTGTTTTGGAAATAACTTCAAACTTACAGGAAAGTTGCAGGAATCAGACTGACTCAAAGAAAACACATATGTTCTTTACCCAGATTCGTCTATTGTGAATACTTTACCCTATTTGCTTTACCAATTATTATTTTTCTGTATTATGTACCTGTGTGTATATGTTTGCATGTGTGTGCGCGCATGCATGCAAGTACACACGCAATACTTTTTTCTGAAATTTTTTAGAGTAAAATTCATACATCATGGCCCATTACTCTAAAATAATACTTCAGTGTATTTTTCTCCAAAATACAAATATTTTCTTACACAATCACAGTACACCTTTTATCCAATCTGCTATTACTATTCCAGTTTTGCCAACCGACCCGATATTGTCCTTTGGATCATTTACTTGTCCTCTGGTACAAGATCCAGCCTAGGATCACTTACCGCATTTAGTTGCATGTATTTTTAGTATCATTTAACGAGGAACATTTCCACAGCCTGTCTTTGTCTTTTATGACTTTGACATTTTTTAGGAATTCAACCAACACCTTCCCACCCCCCCTTTTTTTTCCTAACAGTACATTCTTCATTTGGAATTTGTCTGATGTTTCCTCATGATTAGATTCAGGTTATGGATTCCAGGCAAAAACACTGCATAAGTGATGTTGCTTCCTTCTCAGGGTATCACAATTGAAGGCACAACCTCACTGGTGAGGTTAATTTTGATAACCCAGTCAAAAGGTTGTTTAATTTTTCCACTGCGTAATTACTATTTTTTCCCTTGCAACTAATAAGCAATCTGTGAGGAAACACAAAGAACAAACTGAATATTTTGTTCCTCATGAACTTTCCTCCTTGATTTAGCATCCGTTGATCCTTGCCTGAATCAATATTTATTATGTTAGCTGAAAAATGATCATTTTCCAATTCCAGAACTGCTACATTTACTAGTTGGTCCATGGCATTATACTGTAGGGAAGAGACCTCCTTCTCGACTATCCATCTACCCAGCTAGCTAGCTATCATCTATCATCAGTATAGATTCATAGATTCCTATCACCCCTCCCAGTGGTTTATAATTTATGACTCTTCGCAACCATTTTACTGCTCAAATTGTCCCAGGTTTTGCCAGTTGGAACCCCTTCAAGTTGACTTCCATATTTTGATGGTATGCGCCTGCTATTATTTTTTGAACACGTCTTTATTTTCAAGCATAGTAAGATATAACAGGCTCATCTTGTACCTACCTTGCCCTTGTATTGGGATCAGACATTTCTCCAAGAAATCATGGTTCCTTTTTGGTGAGGAATGTCTAATACAGCAAGCTCTGGTGCTTAGCATGCTCATTCCTATTGGGGTATCTTTGCTTCAAGGCCTTTTTTGGCAGATAGTGTGAGGAAATATATGCATGTATGCACACATATGCATATAAATAAACAAATACATATGTATACATATATACACACACGCATACACACTTACATATATACATGCAGATGTGCATGTGCCGTGGTACACGTATATACACATACGTATACAAGGTTTAGAAATCATGAGTTTACATCGATTCCAATCCATTTCTACATGGTCTTTTCTTGCCTTCCTCATTCCATATTTGTACGTTTAATCTTCTCTAGTGAGAACTCTGGCTTCCAACAACATTTCCTCGTTTGCTCAGTCATATCATATTTGCATAATTACTCAGCCACAGTAGTCCTCCACTCCTGCGTGTCAGAAAATCAGCTGGTCCCAGTAACTTCATGCCTAGTTATTTATCCAAAAGAAAGAAAATCATATGTCCACTGTCATGGATTGAGTTGCGTCCCCCAAAAATATCTGTCAGCTTGGCTGGGTCACGATTCCCAGTGTTGTGTAATTGTGTTATCTGATGTGATTTCCTTATGTGTTGTAAACTCTATCACTGTGATGAGAATATACGTGATCTCCTTATGTGTTGTAAATTCTATCACTGTGATGAGGTTATACTGATGAGGTTGACAAGATTAGATAGTGTCTTAAGGCAATCTCTTTTGAGATATAAAAGAGAGAAGCAAGCAGAGACACATAGGAACCTAATACCACCAAGAAAGCAGAGCCGGGAGCAGAGCGCGTCCTTTGGACCTGAGGTTCCTGAGCAGAGAAGCTCCCAGACCAAAAGAAGACTGATGCATCACAAGGACCTTCCTCCAGAGCCGACAGAGAGAGAAAGCTTTTTCTTGGAGCTGAGGCCCTCAATTTGGACTTGTAGCTTACTGAACTGTGAGAAAATAAACTTTTCTTTGTTAAATCCATCCACTTGTGGTATTTCTGTTGGAGCAGCACTAGATGACTAAGACATCCACAAAAAGCCTTGTACAGCTTTATTCATAGTAAAAAAACAAAAAAACAAAAAACAAAAAACTGGAAACAGCACAATTGTCTTAACAGGAGAATAGATAAATCAACTGTGATATAGTCATACAATATCACACTCGACAGCAATAAAAGGAACAAGCTAGTGCTTCATGCAACAATATAGGTGAATCTTGCAAACATTATGCTGAGTTTAATAAGGCACACAGAAAAAAGTACAGAACGTATGATCCCATTTATATGAAATTCAAGAATAGGCAAAACTAATCTATGATGATAAACACTAAATCACGAGTGGCTTTTGGTGAGGGTTAGGTTGGGGAAGGACTTGGTTAGAAAGGGGCATGAGGGAACTTTCTGGGATTAAGGAAATGTTCTGTATCTTGATCAAGATCTGAGTTGCATGGATGCATGCATTTGTCAAAATAGAGCAAACTCTACCCTTAATATCTGTGCTTTTCTCTGTCTATAATTCACACCTCAATTTTTAAAAATTGTCTGCAGTAGAGTCTGCTTCTAGCTCCTCCTACTAGATTGCCCTACCTCTGATCCTTTTCCTACATTACTCTCCCGAACCCTGAAGGCATTCGAGTTTGCTATCCCTGATCAATTCTAGTACCAACCCTCCTGTTAACATCATTTCAAATATACGACTTACAACATAGATTAGAATTTCTCAGATAATTTAATGACATAATCAACTGTTTAGGTCTGGCCACTATACATGCGCTATTATAGTAAAGATATGCATCCAAATTGAAAATATTTAACCAATGCTGAACATTAGATTAATTCTCAGTTTAGGCCTTTTCTTATCTGACACATTAAGACAAAAGCAAAAACAATCTGCAATACAGTCAGGCTTTGCCAGTGGAAGCAGGTGATTTCCAGCGTCAAATGATCAAATACCATTTCAATGAGGAGATGATTTTCTCAGACCTTCTCATAGACTCTGGTGCAGACTATACCCTTAATTATACATTCCTTAAAAAAAGAGAGAGATTAACTAAGTATCTAAAACTCAAACCAGGGACTAGCAAATTCATAATAAAAGTAGAAAATTAAAACAAACCCATAAAATTGAATGTATAAAGAAATAAAATATCAGTATGACAATCTCCTGTAATTCAGATTTATAACTATTGAAATAGGAGAAACAATTTTGAAAGTTGATCTGTGTTACTGCAAAGGAATAAAAACAAAAATGTCAAGTTTTTTATGCATCATTTTGCATGCATTTAATAAACCTACTAAAACTAGTTTTCAAAACCTTCTGCAAAGTTGCACTGCCTGGAAGACATTTAAAAAACACTGATGGTTCTTCCCCCAGCAACCTCCTGTTTGCTTGCACCCAGAGATGTGGATTCAGTTGGTCTCTGGTGGGATCCCAGTATTGGTTTTTTTTTTGTAAAGCTCCCCAGATAAATCAATTGTGCAGCTAGGGTTAAGAACTATGGTACTAAAGGAGGAGACATTGGAAGCATTGCCTAACTCTGTTTATATCTGATGCGTGTCAACTAGTAGGCACGGAACTTTCCCTTTAAAAAAATGCTAAGATGTAACTTCTGTGATCCTTCTTTAACTGCTGGCTAAAGGAGGCCTTTGATGAGCTCAGGTTGCATTGTCCAGTTACTATGGATTCTTGAAAGCAGAAGGCTTAAAGATCTGCAAATAGTCTACCATTTAGCCTTTTGGGATTAGTTTTGCTTTTATAATTCAGAGTTTCTCTTCTGTTTGTGAATCAAAATTAGTGAAATTTATCCATGCTTTCTTTAATTTTATTACTTGATTTAGTACTTTATTATTTCTAAAATCTGAGCCAAAACTTATAGGAAGATGAGAGTCTTTATGGTTGAAATATCACCCAATCTGACTTTATTCTTAGTCGTTTTTATCCACTTCTATTCCAAAGAAAAACGAATATTTTGTAAATAATGTAACCAATGTCTCTACTTAAATAACATTCTTCTGTATTCACGAGTAAAAATACTCTTACCACTACCATTTTCCCGTCCACCAACTTTCTCTTTATTGTTGTCTCTTCGCCATCCCATTTCTGTACTTGATTCAGTGAGCCTCTCTGCAAGGTTACAATGCTCTGTAAAGACATGTCCACATAATTAGCTTGCCTGGAGTCTAGTTGAGAAAAGAAGCAAATCATTGACTATTGAATCATTTTCATAAGAGTTGTCCTATGTGACACGTTAATTCTAAAACAGAGTCTACCTTTTGGAACACTAGCAGGCATAATCCTCTCTGAAGCAGTAGACTGAGCAAACTGAAGAGGACTTTACAGCTTACCTTTGTTTTCCTGTTATCAGCTGTGGTTTCTTCAAATTCCTGACCTAGCTTGAAGGAGATCTCTGTATTTTTAAAGGTACTTTCCGTTCTTATAGTTATAATATCCCCTTTCTTGCTGATGATCACTCTGGGTTTGGCCAAATTTCCCAGTTTTCTGGTGGCTAAGCCCACACCTAAAAAATCAAGATAGAGTTAGAATTGTGTTGACCGAGAGAGCATCCCGGGAGAGAACATGAGTGTCCGCATTCTTCGCTCAGCTGTGCCTCGGGTGTGGAGATGACAGGCTGTATGGCGTCCTATTGAGGATCTCCCGCCATGTCTCACCAGCTCATGAAAATGCATATCCATGGACTGAAATATTTTAGGCTTTGTTGTAATGCCTGAAGATTTTAAACACTGTTCAGCCTAACTAGTACAAGTTGTACATTTTTTCCATATCTGGTCCCACTTACAATTGAAAATCACTAATTATACTTTTGTATAGATCATTTTTGACATTTTAGATGGTAAAAACAAATACTATATGTATACACACACACACACACACACACACATATATATATATATAATAGGTGTGTGTTAAAAAATGAGACCATGACATATACACACACAGTTCTATGATATTTTTCCCCTTGGTAATATATTATGGATATAGAGAAGAGCTCTCCCACCATCCGATAGAATCTCACTTTTTCTTTTTTTTTTTATGACTTCTAAGTCTAGCTGGTAGGATAAAACTTTCCATCTTGCTTCAAGATATATACAGTTACAAATGATCGTAGATAAATAAAATGATTTTTAAAAAGTCTGCATTTGAAAAGTAAAACAAAATTAAACTCTTATGTTTTGTTACTATTATTACACAAGCCTATAGAAATGCATGGAAAAGGCAAAATGTCAAGTGAGAAAAATACACAAAACAAAACCTAGTTTCTGAAGGCTCCTCTTATGGAAACCCTGGTGGTGCAGTGGTTAAGAACTACATCTTCGAACCAAAAGGTCGGCAGTTGGAATCCACCGGGCGCTCCTTGGAAATCATATGGGGCAGTTCTACTCTGTCCTGTAGGGTCTCTATGAGTCAGAATCGACTCAGTGGCAATGGGTTTTAAGGCTCCTGTTGGAAGTCCCAATGCTTAGATTTACTTCCTCCTTTTAAAAATATATACATGCTAAAAAAAGACTTGAAGGGTTACAGCTCATAGAAATTATGACTCATGTGTTCTTTCTTCTAATTCTGATTAACCTTTTGTTATTTCTTATGATATAGGACAGAAGTTCTCCAATTAAATCAGAATCTCTGGATTAGAGCCTGCGAATCTGCACTCACCAAGTTTTCGTGTGCACTCCAAAATTTGGACACAACTGAATTAGGAAATCTCTCACTGAGACTGTCTTATATTTTGCTTCTTCCTCAGCTGCAAAACAAAGTCCATAAATCCAATCAACCTCACAGTATGGCTCTATCCCCAAAAGTTTTCATAGCTTTCCAGGCAACAAAGACATGATTTTGCTCATTTTTTCTAAAAATAGAACCTCTTCCATAAGCTTTCTGAACAGGTAAGTAAAACTACAGGCACTTTGACAAGCATGGCGACCCAAGGTCACTGGCATCACTCTCTACTGCATTTATACAGCTCTGAAAATTCCCAAAGGCTCTTGACATCTGTTGTGTTCATATGTGTGCAGCCTTCTCTAGAAATAGTATAAAATAAAATTGATGTAACTAGTGACTGAGTCTTCAACTGTACCCACTACTCTAACTCCCTTTCTCTCAGTAACTCCCTTAGGCTACGAACATCCTACTTTAGGAAGCATCTTTTCTTTCCCAAACTTTCTATATCTCCATGAGTATGTAATAATGGACAACCTAGAAGTAGAGAGAGGAGACTAAATTTTAGTTACGCTAAACATCACAATTTAAGCTTGGGATTTCCTACTATCATCAGTATCTTGAACTGCTTGTTTTACGAGCACGTAAGTTACTATAAAACTAGCTATTAGAAAAGCCTAGGATGGGCTGCCTAAGCTTCCAGAATTTCTGTCCTCCTGGTCTGAAACCAGAGCCCGATTGATATGGAGCTGCAGTTGAAATCAGTGGGGATCCCATGCACTTAAGCAGCTCTTATTTAGGTTAAAATCTAGTAAAACTGCCACCAACAAAATGCAAATAAATTATTTGAATGGCCCAACACAATGTTAATCCCAGAAGAGGATGGTACTTCAGCCGTGCAAACTTCCCCAGACTCCTGGAAAAGGAGTTAGAAGGAAATAATCATGTAAACTTTCTCAAAAAGAATTTTCTAAAAAAGAAAAAAAAATGGATCTTCTCAACCAAAATTACAAAGAACAATTTCTTACCCAGAGCCTTCATGTAATCATCAAAGTTCTCACTGGAGACAAGTTTCCAGGTGCCCAGGAATCTTTTGCACATCTTGGTGGGTGAGTGTTCACCACAGTTCTAGGCCGGATTCGGGAGAATCAACTGAGATGCCCAGGCTCCTTAGAAGATTCTTTTCAAAGATGCCCAGAGCATGTGACTATCACAGATACCCAATGGGGAAAGGCAGTGTCAGGACTGGGCAAAGAATTGTTCTTCAATCTTCAGCTGCCCATTCATTAGGACAAAAGATAACCCCACATAATGCCTCCTTCTGTCTTTTTCATAAAAATTATAAAAATGAATGAGACAACTATTTGAACCTACAAAAAGTATTTGGTTGACTTTACATTTATAAGAAGCGCCCCGGTTCATAATGCTTTGGAAAAGACCCCATGAATTAAACCTTATACCAAGCGAAGTTGTATCAGTTTCAGTAAATGTATGTACATACGTGTGTGTTTCGGCATCTTGGTACTCTCAATCCTGAGTTGGAACAATTAAGAATTCTTATTAAAATGGAAGAAAGAGAGGAAAAATGTCCATGAGTATTGTGATAAAATCCTCAAGTATGGTGTGGGAGAGAAATGCCAGGGAGCAGTGTGAGGAAGTATTCATAGGTAAGGAAGGCTTGGCATAGTTCACATAACCAGGCAGGCAGAGTAGGCAGACAATGAGGTCGGTCTACTGCAGTAGAGGACAGAAATTCCATTCATGTCACAGGACAAGGAGGAGCGCTATGACATGCTCTCTGACCACAGCACAGATTTTCATCTTAAAAAAAATCTTAAGTCTTAACTAAACAACTTTTAGTTAATCTAACAACTTTGAGTTACTTAAGTCATTTTAGATAAATCTAATGTTTTTCAAAGTGAAAGGATTATCTACAAAAGACAATACTAGCGTATACTGGGAGCTCACAATGTGCCAGGCACTGTGCTGAGTGCTTCATACACACTGTCTCATCTAATCTGCACAGTAAATTCAAGAGTTGGGTGCTATTGTTACGTCAGTTCTACCAGTGAGAAAACTGGGGCTCAGGGAGTTTACATCATTTGCCCACGATCCCAAAGCCTGAAGGGGGAGAAACACAATTTGCACCTGGCATTGAGCCCCAGAACCCAGACTCTGAACCCTTCTCTGCATTGCTCCCACTCCACCATGTGTACACAGAGGCCCCAGGCAAGGAGGAGGCGATCCTGGCATCACCATGACTGGAGAAAGACACTCATTCTCTGCTCACAAATCACAAAAGGAGAAAATCAAGAGATGAAGCCACCAGGCTGTTAGGGTGGACAAGAGTCCCATACTTGACCAGGGGCCTAGCAGGCTTTCCACATTAGCATTAATACTAGCTATGAGACAACTGACATTCCCAGGTTTTTACAATTAGTACACAGGTTGGTGATCTTCACAACAATGAAAATATCTCATGATCAATTTGCTCGTAACAAGTAGAATCACTGGCTTCAAGGTCTCAGGTAGCCAGTGTCGGGCTGTGCTGTAGCTATTGTAATTATGTGGTTAGGGTACAAGCCAGGTCAAAATGCAACATTATATACAGGGGGCCAAATCTCATCTTACATTACTAGTGCGTGAATAACTCAAAGTGAGCATGAAATAGTAAGCAGAAAAATTCCTGCGCTAACCAGCTAACCCACTCCTAGCCCCAAGAGAATGTAACTGGAGGGGTACATTGTACTGGGATAGAGAAAACAGTTATAAAAAAAAAAGCGTTTTGGTCAATGAATGGGTTATTTTCTTCTCTAAAACACTTTATAAAAATGAATGATGACTTTGGTGAGGGGTAAGACAGTACACAATACTGGGGAAGCCAGCACAGCTTGTCCAAGCAAGGTCATGGAAGCTCAATGGACGCATTCAAACTCCCTGAGGGAATGAATTACTGGGCTGAGGGCTGTGGGGACCATTGTCTCGGGAACATCTAGCTTAATTGGCATAACATAGTTTACAAAGAAAATGTTCTACATTCTACTTTGGGGAGTAGCATCTAGAGTCTAAAAATTTGTGAGAGGCCATCTAAGATACTCCGCTGGTCCCACCTCATCTGGAGGAAGGGAGAATGAAGAAAACCAAAGACACAAGGGGAAGATTATTCCAAGGACTAATGGACCACAACTACCACAGCATCCACCAGACTGAGTCTAGTACCCGGCTACCACCACCGACTGCTCTGACAAGGATCAAAACAGAGGGTCCCGGGCAGAGCTGGAGAAAAATGTAGAACAAAATTCTAACTCACAAAAAAAGACCAGATTTACTGGCCTGACAGAGACTGGAGAAACCCCAAGAGTATGGCCCCCAGACACCCTTTTAGCTCAGTAATGAAGTCACTCCTGAGGTTCACCCTTCAGCCAACGATTAGACAGGCCCATAAAACAAAACGACACTAAATGGTCACACCAGCCCAGGGACAAGGATTAGAAGGCAGGAGGGGACAGGAAAGCTGGTAATAGGGAACACAAGGTCGAGAAGGGAGAGTGTTGACGTGTCATGGGGTTGGTAACCAATGTCACAAAACAATATGTATACTGATTGTTTAATGAGAAGCTAGTTTGTTCCGTAAACCTCCATCTAAAGTACAATAAAAAAATTGTGTAAAATTAAATTAAAATTAAAATGAATGATGGTATCACTTGTGCCTTCAAAAAAAATTTTGTCAGCCCTACTTTATTGTTGTTGTTAGTGCTCTCAAGTTGGTTCCGACTCATAGTGACCCTATGGACAATAGAACCAAACACTTCCCAGTCCTGCACCGTCCTCACAACCATTGTTATGCTTGAGCCCATTGTTGCAGCCACTGTGTCAATCCATCTGATTGAAGGGCTTTCTCTTTTTCGCTGACCCTCTACTTACCAAGCATGATGTTCTTCTCCAGGGACTGATCCCTCTTAATAACATGTCCAAAGTATGTGAGACAAAGTCTCACCATCCTTACTTCTAAGGAGCATTCTGGCTATACTTCTTCCAAGATGGGTTTGTTCGTTCTTCTGGCAGTCTATGGTATATTCAATATTCTTTGCCAACACCATAATTCAAAAGCATCAGTACTTCTTTAGGCTTCATTATTCATTGTCCAGCTTTCAAATGCCTATGATGCGATTGAAAACACCTTGGCTTGGGTCAGGTACACCTCAGTTCTTAAAGTGACATCTTTGCTTTTCAACACTTTAAAGAGATATTTTGCAGTAGATTTTCTCATTGCAATACATCATTTGATTTCTTGACTGCTGCTTCCATGGGTGTTGATTGTGGATCCAAGTAAAATGAAATCTTGACAACTTCAGTCTTTTCTCCATTTATCATGATGTTGCTTATTGGTCCAGTTGTGAGGATTTTGGTTTTCTCTATGTTGAAGTGTAATCCATACTGAAGGCTGTAGTCTTTGATCTTCATCATTAAGTGTTTCAAGTCCTCTTCACTTTCAGCAAGCACGGTTGTGTCAGCTGCATAACGCAGGTTGTTAATGAGTCTTTGTCCAATCCTGATGCCCCATTCTTCTTCGTATAGTCCAGCTTCTCAAATTATTTGCTCAGCATACAGATTGAATAAGTGTGGTGAAAGGATACAACCCTGAGACACAACTTTCCTGACTTTAAACTACCCATTACCCCCTTGTTCTGTTCGAACGACTGTCTTTTGGTCTAAGAACAGGTTCCTCATAAGCACAATTAAGTGTTCTGGAATTCTCATTCTTCACAATGTTATCCATAATTTGTTATGATCCACACAGTCGAATGCCTTTGTATAGTCAATAAAACACAGGTAAACATCTTTCTGGTATGCTCTGCTTTCAGTTATGATCCATCTGACATCAGCAATGATACACGTTGTTCCACCTCCTCTTCTGAATCTGGCTTGAATTTCTGGCAGTTCCCTGTCAGTGTACTGCTGCAATGATCTTTTGAATGATCTTCAGCAAATTTTACTTGTGTGTGATATTAATGATATCGTTTCATAATTTCCACATTCTGTTGGATCATTTTTCTTTGGAATGGATACAAATATGGATATCTTTCAGTTGGTTGGCTGAATTTTATTAGGAAATATGTTATTCAGTTTTAGGTTTTCTATCTAAATCTATGAGGACTCTTAAGTGCTCCCACTAGAGCTGAGCACTTGGATTTAGAGGGACTAATACAGGAAAGTTGTATGAATTTTTATCAGTCCTTATATTGAAACCCACAGCTGCTAAGTCGATTCTGACTCATAGCGGCCCTATAGGACAGAGTAGAACTGCCCCATAGGCTTTCCAAGGAGTAGCTGGTGGATTCTTACTGCCGACCTTTTGGTTAGCAGTCGAGCCCTTAACTGCGCCACCAGGGATCCATATAAATAGCAGTGGGGTTTAAAACAAAAACATTGATCTGTATATTGCCAAGGCAGGAAGTGTATGATCTGGAAGCAATTTTAGAAAAAGAAAAGAATCTTCTACTTTTAGCATATCAGCAACTGTATGTGACTTCCTAGAAATGAGTAGATGAGTTTGGATCAAGGCAAGATTCTGATAATATGGGTCAAAGGCACAGATCAAAGTAATAAGTGCAGAAGATCCAGACTGAACCAGCGCTGAGACATTCAGTCACACCTAGGTAAGAATGTCTTCCATGTTGTAGTGGTAAAAGATTGATAATGAACACCAGAACCACATTGTGATTTTGTCATTGTTGTTGTGCGCTGTGGAGTGGATTCAGACTCATGGCGACCCTATATTTAGACTTGAACTGACTATAAAATGGATCTAGTGTCTCTACAGCATGGGTTTAATTCTTCTCCTCTCACCAATTTATTGCTCATATAAAATCTCACAGTAACAGGGAGTCACTTGAATCATGCACTGAAAAGAACATCCTGAGGTCCAAGCAAAACAGACAAGGAATGCATACTGTCTTCAAGCTACATCCAATTGTATACAGTCAGCCTTCTGTATCCGAAGGTTCTGCATCCATGGATTCAACCAACCACAGACCGAAAATATTCGGAAAAAAAAAAAGTTCCAAAAAGTAAAACTTGCATTTGTCGTGCGCATTGAGCACTATGCTGAATCCAAGTGAATGAAGTGACGGGTAGGCATACCCTGCTG